GTCTGATTTATTTCATGTAGCTTAAAACCCTCTAGGTCCATCCATGTTCTCGCAAATGGCTGAATAATATTCCATTGTGTGTGTGTGTGTATATATATATATATATATACATATATATGTATATATACATCTATTACATAAATACCATGTCTTCTTTATCTATATATCTATTGATGGACATCTAGGTTGCTTCCATATCTTGGCTATTGTAAATAATGCTGCAGTGATCATAGGGGTGCAGATTATCTTTTCGAATTAGTGTTTTGTTTTATTCAGCTGCATACCCAGAAGTGGAATTGCTGGGTTGTATGGCAGCTCTATTTTTAATTTTTTGAGGAACCTCCATACTGTTTTCCATAGTGGCTGTACTAGTTTACAACCCCACCAACAATGCATGATGGTTCCCTTTTTTCCACATGCTTGTCACCACTTGTTTGTTGATCTATTGATGATAGCCATTCTGACAGGAGGTGATAGCTCACTGTAGTTTTAATTTGCATTTTTTCTGATGATTAGTGATGTTGAGCATCTTTTCATATGTCAGCCATCTGTATGTCCTCTATGGAGAAATGTCTAATCCTCTGCCCATTTTGAAAATTGGATTTGTGTGTGTGTGTGTGTGTGTGTGTTGTGTTAACTTGTATGAGCTCCTTATATATTTCGGATATTAGCCCTTTATCAGGTTATCATTTGTATATATCTTCTCCCATTCAGTAAGTTGTCTTTTTTATTTTGTTGATGGTTTCCTTTGCTGTGCAAAAACTTTAGTTTGATGTATTCCCATTTTTTCCCCCCTTGTTTGAGGAGACATAAAAAAAGGTATTGCCAAGAGTGATGGCAAGGAGTTTACTGCCTATGTTTTCTTCTTGGAGTTTTATGGTTTTAGGATTTACATTTAAGGCTTTACTCCATTTTGAATTTATTTTGTATATGGCGTAAGAAAGTGATCCAGTTTAATTTTTCTTTGCATATATCTGTTCAGTTTTCCCAACACTACTTATTGAAGAGGCTGTCTTTACCGTATTGTATATCCTTGTCTTCTTTCTCATAGATAATTGATTTATTGACCATATAAGTGAGGATTTATTTCTGGGCTTTCCATTCTAGTCCATTGATCTATATATCTATTTTTGTGCCACTACCATACTGTTTTGATTATTGTAGCTTTGTAGTATAGTTTGATATCAGAAAGAGTGATACCTCCCACTTTGTTCTCTCCCAAGATTTCTTTGGCTATTCTGGTTCTTTTGTAGTTCCATACAAATTTTAGAATTAGTTATTCTAATTCTGAGTAGAATACCATTGGTGCTTTATAGGGATTGCATTGAATCTGTACATTGTGTTAGGTAATAAGGACATTTTAACAATATTAATCCTTCCAATCCATGAGCAAGGTATATCCTTTCATTTATTTGTATCTTTTTCAATTTCTTCGGTGTCTTATAGTTTTTAGAGAAGAAATGTTTCACCTCTTTAGTTAGATTTATTCCTAGATATTTTATGCTTTTTGATGCAGTTGTAAATGGGATTGCTTTCTTAATTTCTTTTTCTGATTATTCATTATTGGTGTATAGAAAGAAATGCAACCGATTTCTATATTCTGCAACTTTATTGAATTCATTTATTAGTTCTAATAGTTTTGGTGGAGTCTTGAGGGTTTTCTACATATAGCATCATGTCTTCTGCAAATAATTGGAGTTTTACTTCTTCCTTTCCATTTTGGATGCTTTTCTTGTCTGATTGCTGTGGCTAGGACTTCCAATACTATGTTGAATAGAAGTGGTGATAGTGGGCATCCTTGTCTTGTTCCTGATCTTACAGGAAAAGCTTTCAGCTTTTCACCATTGAATATGATATTAGCTGTAGGTTTATCATATGTAGCCTTTATTATCTTGAGATATGTTCCTTCTGTGCCCACTTTGTTGAGAGTTTTTATAAGAGATGTTAAATGCCTTTTCTGCATCTATTGAGATGATCATATATGGTTTTTATACTTTATTTTGTTAATATGATGTATCACATTGATGTACAGATGTTGAAGCATCCTTACATCCCTGGGATGAATCCCACTTGGTCATGGTGTATAATTCTTTTAATGTATTGTTGAATCTAGTTTGCTAATATTTTGTTGAGAATTTTTGCATCTGTGTTCATCAAGGATTTGGCCTGTATGGATATTTCATATAAATGGAATTATATAATATATGTCCTTTTGTGTCTGGCTTCTTTCATGTTCTCAAGGCTCATCTATGTTACAGCAAGTATTATATCAGTACTTCATTCCTTTTTATGGCCAAATAATTTTCCATTGTATAAACCACATTTTGTTTATCCATTCATTAATTGACAGACACTTGAGTTTTTTCTATTTTTTTGGCTATTACAAATGGTGCTGCTTTGAAAATTCCTGTTCAAGTATCTTTTTGAGTACATGTTTTCATTTCTTTATATACCTAGAAGAGGAACTGCTGGGTCACATAGTAACTCTGTTTTAACTTTTTGAGGAACCATCAAACTATGCTGAGTGTTTTACCTACATTATACATCAGGTCTTCACAATGGTTCTGTCAAGGAGAAACCACTCCCATTTTGGAGATGAGAAAACTAAAACTGAGGCTCTGAGATGTAGTCACGTGTCCCAGGGCACATGGCTGGAACATGACAGCATCCATCCTACTGAGCCCATCTCTCCCTTGGTCTCATCCCTTCTGGCTGAGGTGACTATTCTCTGGGCAGCCCCTGCATCTTGTATGTTCTCCTCATCTTTCTCTATAAGTACAGGAGTTACTACTCCTCCAGGGCAACTCCACCAGGCTCAGAGGCAGCTCTGGAAGTGGCAGATAACTACGCGGGCTCAGAAAGCTGGACAAGAAGAGCCCTGTGAACCCTGAAGGATTTCCAGAGCAAACCGGCAAAGGAACCTGAGAGCAGGAGAGAGGGGTGGGGCTTGGAAGGTTGGAAGACTTGGCCAGGTGTCTGTGGGGTTACTACCTTGGGTCCAGGGGACAGGTCCTGAGCTCCTTGCCTTTTCTGTGCGAGCTCTGGGAGGAGCCTGGGGGCTGCATATGCCCTGTACCTAGGAGTAATTGACAGTCCAGGCCAGGCTCCCCACCTAGCCTGAGCAGCTCCAGGATCTCTGCTGGGCAGGAATGGGGGGACAGGACGAGTAGATATGGATACCCTCTTATGTACCAAGCACCAGCTGAGCACTTTACAGAGGTGGCATCTGTGAAAACGATAGAAACCATGGCAGTTAATATATGCTGCATGCTCCCAGCAGCCCTTGGGGAGGGTACATTTGTCACTCCCCATTTTATACATAAGGGGCTGGGCACCAGGGCTCTGGGGGGTGGGGAGGAGCACCAGGGAGCACCTGAGCAAGCACACATCTGGTGGGCAGGAGCAGAGGCTGGGCCTGCTGGTAGAGGCTGCCATGCAGCTAGCTGGGAAGGGGGCCAGCCTGGGCTGCAGTGAAGTGGCCGCCAGCTCTACTCCAGGCTGAGCCTCAGAAATTCTGCTGGCTCAGCGGCCCCTCCTCCCGGGGATGGGGATTATCCTAGTCCTCAGAGGCCCGTCTTCCTGGAGGGTTGCCCAAGTCCCACACCTCTGCATCCTCATCCCCCAGCTGGATCAGCTGGCCTGCCGTACTGTCTTCACCCCTACGCCGGCGGGGGGGACCCCAGGCGGACACACATCTCTGTTTTCATGTGGACCCTCCCATCACCCCTGGGCTGCAGGCAGAGCTGCTGGCCCATTTTACAGACAAGGCAGCTGAGTGTCGGGAGGTTGACCAAGGTAACTGGGCTGGCCAGTAGCACCCCTCCTAGGGTGTTAGCCTCACCAAGCACTGTGAATCTAGGAGAATCTGTACAGCTCTCTTCCCAGGTCTGTCCTCCTGAAGGTGGACCACACAGCAAGGTGCCCACCCCTAGGTGTGAGGAGTGACTAAGGGATGCCTGTTTGTGGGGTACAGATGGAGCTGGAACTGGGCAGAGAACAGAAGTCCTGCAGCTGCAGGCAGGGACTAGCTCATTATCCAAAGGCACCCAAGAATTCTGAATTGAAATTTGGCCTTTCCGGTCATGATGAAGGTATATTTGTCAAGGTAGGAGGGTAGAACATATTTTATTTAACAGGTTATTAACATGATTTATAATGTTTAAATATTTAGACATTCAGTGTATGGGCTTCTGTTTGTATTCTTGCCCCAGGCCCTGCAAATGTTAGGCTTAGGCCAGAGTAGTTTAACTTAGCCAGCCAAAACAGAAATAATGGTAAAGATGATAGCTTTTTTTTTTTAATATTTTATTGGGGAATTAGGGAAGGGGAACAGCACTGGAAAATCAGGGGAAGGGGAACAGACAAGTTGCTGTTGTTTTGTTCTTCAGTCTAGTTGTGGAGGACGTTGCTTCGCTGGCCCAAGCTGGCACCATCATCGCACTCTTCCCGGGCGAGGCAGATCAGTCGCCGGCCTCTGGACGGCCGCTCACAGCGGCTGCTGGCCGCTCACGCTGGCTGCTGGCTACACATGGTAACTTATGGCAGCCTACTGCAGCAGGGGACTGCAGCCTACACTATCGCCAGCGACCCACGGCAGCCCAGCTCCAGGTCGAGCTGTTGTTCAGCATCTTAGCTGTAGAGGGCAGTGTCACTGGCCCTCACATGTGGGATCCGAAACCGGGCCCTCTGGCATCCCAAGCCAGTTCTTAACCAATGCACCACTCGGCTGGCCCGATAGCTGCTTGCTTTTTTTTTTTTTTTGCAGTGCTTCCTGTGTGCTAGGCACATTGCTAGGCTCTGCAGATACAAAGATGAATAAAATATAGTCATTTCTCCACCAGCCCAGATAGGGACACCCAAGTATATCACAATATCCACAGCAGCCATTTGTCAAGCACTTACTAATTTCCACTGCAAAGTGCTTTATGGATAGCATCACAATGAATCCTCAAATAACCAAGAGGGAGTATCATTCTTACCACATTTTACAGAGGGGAAACAGACTCAGAAAGACAAAGTGACCAGAAAAACAAACCCAGTAAGAGGCAGAACTGGGACAAGGGCAGAGGCCAATGAGGGATCAAAGCTCAGACTCATGACTTGGAGACTCTGGGACCTCAACTGAATCACTTGGCTTCTCTGAGCCTCAGTTTCTTCATCTGTAAAATGGGCACATTAAGTCCAAACTTATCTATGAAGTGACTACCCGGGTTCCTGACCCAGCAGATGCCCAGGAATTAGGGAAGGGCCCTTGTGTTTTAGGGACCCCTCTGGCAGCCCAGACTTAGTCTTGCTCCCTAAACTTCACAGGAGACCCAATGGGGGTGGGGTGGGGAATGACCACCTGCCTGGATCAGGGGATCCCAATGCCTGCTGCTTCCCCTCTCCCACCCTCTGGTCACCTTCCTTCTGGAGGTGCTTGGTGGTCTGGGCCATAAGAAGTGGGGAATCAGGCCACATGGGCGAACTTACCAAATGCTCCTAATGGCCTTGCCTGGTTGGGGTGATGATCTTCCCCTCCCTGCAAATGAAACTGAGCCTGAACCAAAACACAGACCCCAAGATGGCTGTCTCTGGAAGGCTGCAGCCATGACAAGGTGAGAACCTGAGGCTAAGGAGGTATATGTGTGTGTAGAAGGGGGTCAGGTGTCTATGAAGCAGGACTGTCCTGTCTGGGGATGCCAGAAGAGTGTGTGGCTGGAGGCTGGAGTATAAGCAGGCTTGGGTGGGGGCTCAGTTTGCTGCTGGGCAGGCCTGTGACCCCATTGGTGCTGGAGATGGGGGGGTTGAGGCCCCCCTTGGTAGGTGGGGGGGCTGCACCCTTTGGGGGTGCTGCACTGGGGTTGGAATTCAGATTGAGGCTGGGGGTGCTGTTGCCCTGTGTTGTTTGTGAAGGGAGCCAGAGGCGGCAGGGGAAGGTGCAGTTAGTGGTGGGGGGGGGCGGGGTGCGGGTTCCCTGACACCGAATTCATTATTGGGAGATTCCTCTTCACAGTCCTTCGACACCTCCCACAGGAACCACGGGCCAGAAATGTCTGACAGCCTCTGGCGGGCTGGCTCCCGTGCAGCCTCTGGTGCCCGGGTCTCCGCCTGCCCACTGCCGCCGCGTCCCTCCCCCCATTGGGTCCCGCAGCCTCTGGAAGCCTTTCTCAAGCTCAGCCTCGCGCCGCCGCCGCCGTCTCGGGGCTCGGGGTCCATTCCCCCGGCGGTTGATGTCCCCAGCCCCCAGCGCTCGACAAGGGTTGCGAGGTGTCCGCAGAGGCCGGGCTTGACCCGCGCTGCCCGCACGTGGGGAGGGGGCGTCTCAGGAGGACGCGGCCTGATGTAGGGGTGGAGCTAAGGAGCCTGGCGCGCGGCAGGCGCGGGCGAACGGAGGTCAGCGGCCGCAGGAGGGGGACCCAGGCGTCCGGGAGGCGGCGCCAGGTGCCGCGCCCCAACCCCACGCCCGCCGCCGGCCCCCGCCCCCGGGCCGCCCCCCGCCCGTGACGCGCTCCCCGCCCCCTCCGCGCCCGGAGCCGGAGCAGGAGCCGGAGCCCGGCGAGGGGCGCGGGAGGCGGAGGAGGCGGCGGGGGAGGGAGGAGGATGCAGCCGGCGCCGCGGGGCCGCCGCCGCCGCCTCTGAGCCGCGCCGAGCGCACGGAGCGCAGCCGCGTCGCTGCGGCCCCGACCGCACCATGGGGAAGGAGCAGGAGCTGGTGCAGGCGGTGAAGGCGGAGGACGTGGGGACCGCGCAGAGGCTGCTGCAGAGGCCGCGGCCCGGGAAGGCCAGTGAGTGCGGGGGGCGCGGGGTGGGGGGTAGGTAGACGCTGCGCGTCCGGGGGCCACCTCCAGCGCCGAGCCCCTCACCCCTTCTGGCGCAGGGCGGGGAGGGGGATGCTGTCGGTCCCCGGGGGCGGGGCGGGGCCAGCATCGCCCAGACCCTCAGTCCGCATCCCCGCCCCCAGCACTGAAGAGGGGCGGCACCCAAAACCGGGCCGTCACCCTGAGCCCCCCAGCGGGCACCCGGCGGCACCCACCTCCCTGGTCGCAGGTGTTTGCATCCCTCCCTCCCTGCCTTCGTCCTCCTCTCTCCTGGGCTGCAGGTTGACAGCTGGAGGTCTCTGCTGGGCCTTTAAAGGACGAGGCGGATGCCCTCCCCATGGAGAGAGGGAGGGGGCCCTTGCGGTGAGGGGCATCACAGGGCAGACAGTCTCTGTCAGACAGTCCCGGTCAGACCCCCTCCCCACCCCATGTTAAATAACATGCTTTTCAGGGAAAGGGGGGCAGAACCATGCTGGGGGTGTGGCTGCCCAGGCATGGCTGGCTGGGGGCCATTTACTGATGGGGGAACGGAGGCCCAAGGTCGCCCAGCCCAGGGCAGGCTAAGCTCCAAGCAGGTGCAGACCCTGCAATAGACCCTGGCTTCCCTGCTGGGAAAGGGGGCTGTGGGGGAGGGAGGTTCTCCCAGTGGCCATCCTGAGCTTGCGCTGTATGGGCCCCAGGGAAGGGTTGGGAGCTTGGAGCCCTGATCCCAGCACTCATCCCAGCTCAACCCGGAGCCTCCCCCGGGGGCTGCTGGAGATAGATGGATGGGCGTGTTGACCAGCTGCTTGTGCGGCTGCGCACGCATGGCTGCACTTATGGCCGTGTCAGTGTGTCAGGGCACCTGTAGGGGTGCGGGCGGGGCTTTGCAGGGTGGCACGTGAAGTCTGGGCACCCCACTCCCACGGACTATATGTAAGCCAGGGAGGCCTCCTCCCCCCTTTCCAGGGGGGATGCTGAGAACAGAGACTGCCTTGGGGTTAGGTGGGAGGTAGGTCCTAGAGCCAGGAGGACCCTCCTACCGCAGCCTGCTTGGGTAGCTCCTGTCTGCTCTGTGCAATGCGAGAGCTGCACATCTGTGCCTCGCAGGCATACATACTCAGGCTGCCTATGCCTTCCACATCCAGTTGGGGCTGGCTTCAGGGCCTCAGGGCTCAGAAAGGGAGCGTTTCTAGGCAGAGGCAGCCTCAGCTGAGCCTCCAAAGCAGGTGGATGGATTGAGAGGTGGAAGGCAAGGTCAAGGCTTCCACCTAGTGGCCGTGCTACCTTGAGCACAGACAACTCCAGCTCTCCAGGCCTCAGTCTCCTCACCTGTAGGATGGGAATGTTTGTGGTCCCTGCCTCCTAGCATTGTTGTAAAGACAGTGAGAGAGTGCACATGAAGCCCAGGCTCTTACTAAGCACTCAGTAAGCACTAACGAGGACTATTTTCTCAGCCCAGAGTGGATGGGCCAGGAAGGTGGGAGCCTCAGACTTGGGGGTTCCTCCTCCCTTCTACTCTGGTCCCCCCAGGGAAGGTGTGGGGACTTTTACCATTACCTGGGTCTCACCTGGTTCTCTACATCCACTCCTGCCTGGCCTCATCTCTGAGCTCTGACTCACAGGGGCGGGCATAATAAATCAGACAGAGAAATCCCTCCATGAATTAGCTCAGTTGTCATGGCAACGCTGGCCTGCTTTGGAGTAAGACTTATTTTGATTCAGCAAAGTACAGCTGGAGTTTGGGCCATGGGGTGGGGGTCACCCAGCAGTGCTCCATAGGGCTCCCTAGTCTCCAGAGGTATTCCCATGATCCTTGTTCCCATGATCTCCCCATGCTGGCACCTTTCCTCCACCCCAACCCCTCAGTGTGGGCCCAAGTTCTGTCAGCCCCCCATTCTGCCTTGAAGGGAGCTTCCCTTTACACACACAGACACTAACTAGCATGCTTAGCAGTTGTCCTTGAGGGAAGAAGAGACTGCTCTGGAGGGAAAATGCCAGGCGAAGGCTGGTCTTTTGCTGGGAGCAGGGGTACCCTACCCTTCCTTCTGGCCCAACCTCCCCTTTCCAAATTCCCTGAAGACTTAAGGCCAGCATTCCTGCGCTCTCTCACCTTGGCCCACTAATAGTTCCCCTCCAGCATCTGGCCAGGGGCTTCCCGCCTGGGGGCGGCAGGGGAGGGGGTGGGGGAGCCGTGAGGAGACTGCACTGGCCCTGCTTCTCTGGGGAAGCTGAGAAGGTGCCTTGCCCTGGACGCCACAGGGCTCAGCCACTCTGAGATGGTACCAGAGAAGGCCAGGACCACATCCCTGTAGGGGACAGAAGTGGCCCTGTCGGGGTGGCCTCTGAGTGAGTGGTTTCCGTGGTTGGAGGAGCATCTGGTCAGAGGGGTGGAAGGAATCTATGAGGAGAGGGTGGGAAAGGGGCTGGGGCCTCTGCAGCCTAGAGTCTAGAGCTGACCTCAAAAGTAGAGATGGTTCCAGGAGAGCAGTTAGAGGGCTGGGGTGATGAGAGGCTGGAGAGCCCAAGTCATGGGGTGGGTTGGGGGGGCAAGTTTATGCGCTATTACTGATGTGGACTCTGTAGAACTTAGTGCCCTTGTGGGAAGGGAAACGGGGCTCCTGAGACCTTCAGCTTGGCCCCTTCCCACTTGCCCACTTCTTCCCCATCTACCCAGGCCCCTTCAGCCGTGCTCTACTCCAGCGTCATTCAGAGCACCTGTCTCCATGGGGTGCAGCCTCCTCAGCCCCAGGCAGGCTTCAGTTCTGGGACCTTCCTTGGTACCCAGTGTCTCCCACAGGCTTTGGGGGGAGTGCTTTAAGACCTCAAGCTGACCTCCATCCAATTCCAGCTATTTTCCTCCTTGAGGAGGCCAGCAACAGGGAGAGGAGAGAGATAACTTTAGCAAGTTGCCCCTCCTCATGTGGGAATTGGTCCCCTTCGGGATGGAGATGCCTCCTCCCCACTGGTGTCTGTGCCGCTTCCTGGGCCTTGACCTCCAGCCCCTCTGAAATTTCAGCGCCTGCAGGTATGGCCAGGTGAGCAGGTGAGCCTGGCTATGGGTTCCACTTGGAGCACCTGGCTCAGCAGCTGCCTGGAGGGCCCCAGATGTGAGAGAAAGGAGAGGGCCCAGGCTGGCCAGTCTTGCAAGAGAAGCTGAGAACTAGCTACACTGTAACTAAGAAAAGTGGGGGCAGCAAACATTAGAGTTCAGCAGAGTGTTCCAAGGGCAGTGGTTGGGAATGTCCTGAGTGTGGCCCTGGGCGGGGTGGGGGGGCCCCAAAGGACAGCCATGTCTTACTTTCAGCTTAATAAGTGACTGTGGTAGGCCAGGCTGCATAATTCACAGGGCCTAGTGCAACATGAAAACATGGGTGCCTCGTCCAAAAATTAGGATTTTCAAGATGGAGACAGCAGAGCATCCAACCAGATGAGGGGCCCTTCTGAGCAACTACACAGGTCATGTGCCTGAAGCTAGCCCTGGCAGGTGGACGGAATGTGTGGCACGAGGATATGACTTCAGTTTCCAACTTACTGAGCATCTTGTATGCACTGTTTCAGCCCCCCAAATTACAGCAGTGAGCAAAATAGATAAATCTCTTGTCTTCTTGGAGGTACCCTGTTTCCCCCAAAATAAGATCTAGCTGGAAAATAAGCCCTCACATGATTTTAGGTGCCAAAACATGGCACCTTGGCATACTGAATATTTTAAGCTGAAGGAGTTTGTGGAAAAGGCACCCTTCTCCCTGAAATAGGTCATACAACCTACATGTGTGAGGGGTGCATGCTCTTCATATCCAGGAGGAATCACGCTAGGGCGTCTTCTCTGGCTAGGTCTTATTTTCGGGAAAACACGGTAGCAGTTTAGTGGTAGAGATGAACAATAAACAAGGTCAGTGGTGATGGGGGCAAAAGGGAAAAATCCAACAGACATGGGGTGGGAGAGGAGTTGCCATTTTAGATGGGGAGACCATGGAGGCTTCACCAAGCAGGTGACATTTGGATAAAGACCTGAAGGACATGAGGGAGGAAGTCATGGGGATAACTGGGGGAAGAATAGCCCCCCCCACACACACACACAGAGCTTGTGCAAAGTCCCTGCGGCAGGGTAGCTGGTGTGTTGAAACACCATCGTGTGGCTGGAACTGGTGCTGAGGAAGCCAGAGGGCTGGATCGTACAGGGCCATTGTCCAATGAGATGGGCTGTTGGAGGGCCCTCATGAGATCAACGGGATCGGATTCATGTTCTAATATGGTCTCACTGACCTCGGTGTGTATATGGAGGATAGACTGAAGGAGGCAAGTCAGAAGTGAGGACACCAGTGGGGAGGTGATGGCAGTGATCCTTTGAGAGGTGCTGGCATGGCCAAGGGTGGTGACAATGACGGTGGAGAGAAGGGGGGGGGGATGTCCTGAGTGTGCTTTGGGAGTGTCTCGAAGGTAGAGCTAACAGGATTTATCAATGGAGAAGATTTAAGGTAGTCAAGAAGGGACCCAGGGTTGACTCCAGGGTTTTGGCCTGGACCACCAAGGAAGGGTGGCGTTGCTGCCAGCATAGAGGACTTGAGTGCCAGCAAAGCATCTGAGCAGAGGGGGAGGGGCAGGGAGTGAAGATGCCTTTCTTCCTAGAGTCTGGGCCCTCCCTCCGCAGAAGCCCCTTTGGCTGGAGGGTGGGGGTGGGGTACCTATAGAGCTAATATTAGTCATCACCACTTACTGAGCTGACACTGTGCCAGACTCTTCCTGCTTTATGTCTGGAAACATCCTTAGACCTGAGAGGCCCCCTTTGAGCTCTGTGCCAAGGCCACAGGACTAATAAGGTGCAGAGTGAGGATTTGAATTTGGGCCCATCTGACCTCGTGTGCTGTGTGGGCCAGGGTGGGGGATCCACATCCTCTACTGAGCAGCCCTGCAGCAGCCCCTCTGTGACTCAAGTCCCTCAGTTTCCTGCCCTTGGGCCCCCTGCCCCCATCCCTGTACTGGGCCTGGACAAAGGGGCTTCTGTCCTGCCAGCCCCTCCCTCACAGAGCAACTGACCCACAAATGGGTTATGTAACCATGGCCTAGACAGGCAGGGGCTTGGCCAGAGTCCGGCTGGACCTGAGCCCATGGGGAGGACGTTGGTGGGCTCCTCTCCTGTGGCAGGCAGCTGGTGTGGGCTAGGACCAGGGAGGCTCCTGGAGGAGACTGGAGCCCCAAAGGGAGGGCTTGGGCCCCTTGGGCTTCAAGTGTCTGACCCTGTAGAAGAGGTGGCCATTCTCGTGTGGTCACTCAGAGGCACTGGGCCACTCGCCTACCCTTCCCTTCCTGCCCTGCTTGGTGGGACTCGTCTATACTGGCCAGGCCCAGGGCTGGGAGTGAGGGGAGGCCGCATCCTAGAAATGCAAATCTTCTCCCAGAGATACCCCCATTTCCGGGTGTCCCAGCCTTCCCTGGCCACCCCCAGCCCATCTGGGTCCTTCTGAGAGACAGATTGGGCTGGCTCTCTCCCTCCCACCATCAGCGGGTGCCCAGCTAGCATCCCAAGGGAGGGGGTACATGTGCATATGTGTGTGTGCCTGTGTGGGTGCACAGCCGTGGCTTCTGTCCTCAGGCGGGAACAGGCCTGGAGATCTTGGCCTTTTGAACCTCCTAACATCTTAGTTTAGTGGGAAACCAAGGCCCAAAAGCTGGTACCTGGAGCTGAGTGCAGGGAACGTCGCTGAATGAATGAATAAATGTTTCTAGACTAAAGACCTAGATAGCTTTGGCTCTGAGCCTGCCAGGGAGCCAGCCAGCACCCTCTGCCTGCTCTTAGGCTGCCTAGAGGGGGCTGGGACCCAGGCAGGCCGCAGGAGGGGCTGGACAGAGCTTCCCTCACCGTGTCTCCTTCCCACTCCCAGAGCTCCTGGGCTCCACCAAGAAGATCAATGTCAACTTCCAAGACCCGGATGGGTGAGTTCTAAGCCAGGGAGATGCCAATCTGGGATGGGGGCTGGTTCCTAGGGAAGGCCAGGTGCCCGGATCCTTTCCCATACGTGTTTGTCGCCTGTCCCAGCTTCTCTGCCCTGCACCATGCGGCCCTCAATGGCAACACAGAATTGATCACCCTGCTGCTGGAGTCCCAGGCTGCTGTGGACATCAAGGACAACAAAGGCAAGGCCTGTCAGGGACCTCAGAGTCAGGGGCCGGTGGCTGAGGTGCTGGGCTCCTAGGGAACTGTATGGAGCCTTGATGGAAGTCTGCCCAGAGTCTAAGGCTGGGTCTAGGCAGGTCCTCATGGGACCCACGTCCTGGAGTGGGGGGTGAGCTCAGGGACAGAGGCAAGCTCCCAATGGCCCCTGCCTGCCCCCAGGCATGCGGCCACTGCACTATGCCGCCTGGCAGGGTCGAAAGGAGCCCATGAAGCTGGTGCTAAAGGCGGGCTCGGCGGTGAACATCCCGTCGGACGAGGGCCACATCCCCCTCCACCTGGCAGCCCAGCACGGTCACTATGATGTGGTGAGGACCACCTCAAGGGTGGCAGGGTGCCTGGGGTGAGCCTGATGGACGCACTGGGTCTGACTGCACTCTGTGTGCTCCGCAGTCTGAGATGCTGCTCCAGCACCAGTCCAACCCATGCATGGTGGACAACTCGGGGAAGACGCCCCTGGACCTGGCCTGTGAGTTCGGCCGCGTTGGGGTAAGTCTCCCGGGCGCTGAACGGCACTCCATCTTCTCTTTCTTCCTTACCTGGGGCTGGAGACAAACCTGCAACCCTCCGCCCCATTTCTGGGCCCCCCTACTTTGACCCCTCCTTCAAGGTGGTCCAGCTGCTCCTGAGCAGCAACATGTGCGCGGCCTTGCTGGAGCCCCGACCCGGGGACACCACTGACCCCAATGGCACCAGCCCCTTGCACCTGGCAGCCAAGAACGGCCATATTGACATCATCAGGTATGGCCGTGTGGGGGCAAGGGGAGGGGTGCCAAGCTCCGGGGGTCCTGCTCCTGGCTTAGTGATAAGACAGGAGCGATCAGGCAGCTGTGGCCATGTGGTCAGGCCTCTGGATGCCAAGGACGCCTCTAGCTGCCCACATAAAGAATGTGCTGGAGGGGGCTGGAGAGGACATCCTCACCCCCACAACCTGGGCTTTATCATGGCCCTGCCACTTGCTAGGTGACCTTGTGGACACATTTAACTTCTGAACCTCAGTTTCCTCATCCATATGGTGGGTATCACAGCAGTGCCTGTGTTAGGATGAGACCAGATAACCACAGTGAAGGGTTAGCACAGAGCCGGTCACTGTCAGATACCATGTTATTTGGGAGGTGGGCTGGGCTGGCTTATCCTCAGGCCCTTGGAAATTGGTGCTCATCTGTGGAGTGCTGGGGCAGAGGGCTCCTGCTGTAGGCCCTGCCTGCTTCCCCTGCCTTCCTGCCAGACTCCTCCTCCAAGCTGGCATTGACATTAACCGCCAGACCAAGTCCGGCACGGCCCTGCATGAGGCTGCCCTCTGCGGGAAGACAGAAGTGGTTCGGCTGCTGCTGGACGTGAGTTGGGGGCCCAAGGGAGAGTTGGGGCCAGGTGGGGGCGGGGGGTGCTCCTGACAGGCCTTACCCCCTGGCACATGCAGAATGGGATCAACGCGCACGTGAGGAACACCTATAGCCAGACGGCCTTGGACATCGTGCACCAGTTCACGACATCCCAGGCCAGCAAAGAGATCAAGCAGCTGCTGCGAGGTAGGCCCGGGTGGGGCAAGGGGCTGGAGTAGGGCCTGGGCCAGGCTGGTTTGCAGGACTAGGGATTTCACCTCCTGTGTCCCCAGAGGCCTCGGCGGCTCTGCAGGTCCGCGCAACCAAGGATTATTGCAATAATTATGATTTGACCAGCCTCAATGTGAAAGCTGGGGATATCATCACAGTAAGGAGGGCCTGGATGCTGGGATGGGTGGGACCTGGGACACTAACCCCACAATACCCCCTGCAGCAACTGGGGAGTCTGAGGGTCTGGGCAGGAGGCCCAGGCCACCCACCTGCTTGACCTGGAAGTCTCCCTGAGTGTGTTCCCCCACCTTACCTGGCCAGGTCCTCGAGCAGCATCCTGATGGCCGGTGGAAGGGCTGTATCCACGACAACCGGACAGGCAATGACCGGGTGGGCTACTTCCCGTCCTCCCTGGGCGAGGCCATTGTCAAGCGAGCAGGCAAGTCCCACCCAGGCCTGGGCTTGGGCCGGAAGGAAGCAAGTGCATATGTGTGTTGGGTGGCAGGGCAAGGACCGAGCTGTAGCCATTGCTGGGTGTGTGGTCCCAAGTGGTGTCCAGCGGTGTGTCCTGCCAGCTGTCTCCTTATCAGTGTCCTTATGCCCATTCCTTCATTTATTCAGCAGACATTGCCCACCAGCCACTAGGAATAGATGGCGACCCAGATGGACATCATTTCTGCTCTCAAGGAGCTTTCCCCCAGGAGAGAGGGAAGCGGGGGACAGTGAAGGAAACCCAGAAAGAAATGTACTAACCAGTGACAGAGAACGTGGTTTAGACAGGGTGGTCAGAGAAGGCCCTGAGAAATGGAAGGGACCAGTCATAGGCAGAGCAGCCCAGGCAGCAGGAACCCCATGTGCAAAGGCACCGAGGCAGGAAAGAGTATGACGTGTGTAACGGTCCAAGGCAGGCCAGCATGGCTGGTGCAGCGTGAAGGAGAGGGATGCAGGACATGGCTACAGGGCCATAGAGTGGTTTCAGACAGGAGACTGGTGAATCTGGAGATGGACATATGGGGTGGAAGAGCAGAGAGGTCCAGGTAGAGGGTGCAGCCAGCCGACCCACGGTAATCTAGTTCGCTGGGTGGGGAGCCTGGCCTCAGACGCCTGGGTGCCTCTCCCCTCCCCGCTGCTCTCCTGGCACAGAGGAGGTTGCACCCTCTGGAAATCTGCGCCACCCCCCACAGGACCACTGGTGGAACACCCTGGCTTGGGCCCCTCTCTGCCACGCTCCTGCTCTCATGTCTGGGGTGAGGAGGGGTCTTCTGAGGGTCTCAGCTCCTTGGAGACAGCCAGGGCAGGGGGAGGCTATAAGTGCTGACCCCCGAGCTGTGCATGTGTTGGGCCTCTGCTCTGCACAAGCTCAGGGGCTGGGCCAGGGGACGCCCTCCTGTCAGTGTCAGGTCCCCAGGCCTGGGCTGATCCAGGGTTCAGGGAGGCTGTGCTCGGCCCACAGGTTCCCGAGCAGGCACAGAACCAAGCCCACCCCAGGGAGGCAGCACGTCGGGACCCTCTGCACCCCCTGAAGAGATATGGGTGCTGAGGAAGCCTTTTTCAGGTAGGTGGGGGCCTCTGGAGGGCAGGAGTGGTAGCACTTCTGCAAGACATCCCCCCAGGCGAGGCGGGACATGCACCAGCTGATGTTCCCTCGTGCTGGCAGGCGGGGACCGCAGCGGCAGCTTGAGCAGTGTGTCTGGTGGCCGGAGCAGCGGGGCCCACACCCTGCACGCAGGCTCTGAAGGGGTCAAGGTAGGTGGGGTGGTGGCAGGGCCAGGGTGGCTTGGGCTCAGAGTAGCACTGGCCAGCCGGCCTGTCTGGGTTGCAGCTCTTGGCAACAGTGCTTTCCCAGAAGTCTGTGTCCGAGTCCAGCCCTGGGGACAGCCCTGTCAAGCCTCCGGAGGGCTCCGCAGGTAAGAGCAAGGACGCAGCACTACTGGCCTGGCAGGGAGGGGGCCCCTGAGCAGCTCTTGCCCCACCGTACCCTCTCATCCCAGGTGCAGCCCGGGCCCAGCCTCCAGTGGCCCATGCTGGGCAGGTCTATGTGGAGCAGCCACCCAAGAAGCCAGAGCCAGCGGCAGAGGGCAAGGTATAGGGCCTGGGCCAGCTGCATGGAGGGGCACCCGGGTAGCCTGCCTGGCCTGGCCATGGTTCAGCTGGGGGCCCTGACAGGCCAGCCCGGTCCTTCTGTCTGTCAGTCTGTGTGTGTGTGTATAGGTGTTGTCTATTGTGCAGGCTGTGTGTGTGAGGTAGTGTATCCAAGAAATGTGACACAAGTGTGAGGTGAACGGGGATGGATGTGCACGTGTGGGTGGTGTGACTATGAGGTAGGCACGTGTGCCTGTGTGTGTGCGCGCGTGTGAAAGAGCATGGGTATGAAACGAGACAAGGTGTTTATGTGAGTGAGATGGATCCTGTGTGCATGACCTGTGTCCTAGGGAAGGCAAGAGCTGCTAGCAGAGTCCTGCATACCTCCGGGCAGAGCCCACCTTCCAGGGAGTGAAGGGCAGCGCTGAGGCCCCATTCCCAGACTACCTCACACGGGGCCACATTGCAGGGTATTCCTGGTTCAGGAAGTGGGGTTAGGGATGGTCAGGGAAGCTGGACCCTCCTGATGAACATCACGGAAGGAGGCTGCAATGCTGGGAGATGCTCGAGACGGCGGCATCCAGGACCACAGAGTGAGGAGGGAGCACTGGTGCCAGGCTGACCGGGGCCTAGCTGCAGATGGACCAGCGGACAGCAGACTGAGCTTGCGCAGAGAAGGAGGCACCTTGGTGGCTGGGTTGCGAGCCTGGC